TTGCTGCCCCTCCTCACAGGTCACTTCCTCTGAGATATTGCCACATCCCCTCACCCATGGAGCTGGAGGCTCTGGGCAAGATTTGCTCTCCCCAGGAGATAGAAAATGACTGTGGAAAAGAGGTACAGAAAATTATAGTCCCCTCACCCCACTGGGGGCTCTGGCAGCTCCACTGCTGAGAAGGAGACAAGCTGAGCAATAGAAAACTGACAAACCCTGATTAATAATAAAGTCATAATGAAACTGTGCCAGCTGGCAACAGCGTGGTCTGTCAGCAGGGCTGGATTAGTGTGGAGGGAGCCTGCTGTCGTCTGGGTCTGGAAAAATGCGCAGGAATTGTGGAGAGTGAGGGCGTCCCCCCACCCTCATCCTTGTCAATAGAAGTCCCACCCCGCACCTACAGACCAGTCACAGCATGTGACACACTGCTGGCCATGCTGGCCACCCATTTGGACAAGGCAGTCACTGGAGTAGTGGTCTGCAGAAGGGAAAATGGGTTTTAGGGCTCACACTGAAGAACTCACTGATCTTACTGACTCCCAGCCTGAGCTGGCCACAGATAGGTTCACAGAAGACACACCTTAGCAAAGGGATTTCACCTGCAAGATGTGCAATGTGGCACTGACATGTAAAACATGGACAGTGATTCACAGCTACAGATACAATATTTATTAAAGGCGATTTTAAAGACATGGCCACCCCTTGGGATCACGTACAAGCACAGTCTGCAGGTCTTTATGCTCCTCCGGTATCACCTGTAAACACTGTCTCAGGCCAGGTCTTCAGGGTGCTCAATGTATCAGCTCAGCTGAATAGCAAGGAGGTAACTGGACAGTAGTTTCACACTGTCACACATCAGATAAAGCTAAAAGAGCATTACCATAGAAAATCATTTGGGTGTTAAGCCTTGCCCTGCCTGCTGAGCATTACAGACCAGTCTAGGTGAGACAGATCAATGGGGTAGTTTTGCCTGTATTACACTACAATATTTTCAATAAACTGCTTCAAAGAAGAGAAAAATATGACTTTTACCTAAAGGGACCTGAAGAATCCAGTTCTTCCAAGGAACATTTCACAAGATGATCATCCTTAATATGATCAAGCTGGTAGATTTATCAGTGCTTTAACATTCATGTTTGTGTATACTCACTTCTCATTGAACACTACTTGGGTTTCTTGAATCTGGTGATAGCTGGTACTACACTTAATAGCCTACTCTGTGTAGATGTTAAAAGTTTGCAGAATCTATTTTTGTGGGTTTTTTGCAATAAAGCCTGAGACTTTTATGTTTTCTTGATTCTAAAATAAAGGGAGGAATTATTTCAAAGGGAAAATTAAAACAGAATGAAAAAAATGTACCAGCTGGAAGGAGATTGTGGCTTTGGAACATGAATCAATTTTCTGGATTTCATTTTCTACTCACACACTGGAGCTGCCTTTTCCCACCTCCACTCAAGAGAACAAGTAGGGACACAACTTCTACTTTGTTTTTTTTATTTATTTAAAAAAACTTTTGGTATAGCAGATGACGCAAAATGTGTTAGCTGCCCACTTCTGCAGAGATGCACAGTGAACTTCAGTAACACACTATGAGCTGAATTAAATTGTCTGCCAAAAGCAAGCAAACTTTTCTAGACAATCTGTTATTTGACACACTCTACCCAGTAAAGCCTGTTGAACCATCTGCTCTGCATAAAGTCCAGGGTACGTGTTTCACATGGTCCTAAACTTAGCAGTGAGCCAGAGTCAATATTTCCACAGTGGGGATCCCCTACAAGAAATTCTATCAACAGCTCTTGCCCTCTTGGCTTGGTGTCCGTGATCCAGGAAAATCCCTTTCCCCAGCTCCACCGGTTCACTGCCAACCTGACACACCCAGGAGAAGCTACAGTGCTGCACACACAATTCCTACCCATGGGCATCCAGAAATCCCCTATACAACAAGAAAAAAACCCCAGGATACACCAACTGCACCAGAGGAGGCTGACCTGTTGGAGTTTTCAAACACTCCAAAAATTTCAAACCCTCCATATTCAACATTTTCCTGCCAAAAAAGAGAATACAGCCAGGAAAACTACACACAGACAGACACACATATCTCAGCTTCCCTGTATCAAAAGGTAAAAAGGGGAAGGAAAATTAGCTCATTACTGGATCTGGCTGTACTTCTGCATCCCTAACACGCTGGCTCAGTCAAAATGTTATCTGCTATCTTTGATATTATTTTAATGTTGGAGGAAGGATAAAGAAATTCTTCTTACACTGCTGAGAAATATTTTAAATTCTTATACACAGCAGCCAGCTGGTGTTTCCAGAGCTTTTACACAGTTTTTTTGCATTTCAAATACAACTTCTCTACCAGATACCTTCCCAATGACATCCTGGCAGCTCAGAGTATGAAGACGGGAAGGAGTTGTTGGACCACCTATGTCAGCACCACAAGGGAGACACAAAAGGAAGGAAAATTGGGGTGGACAAGTAGTCAGAATGCCAAAATACTAAAACATGTAGGGGGAAGCACACATAGAAAAATTGGATGCTAGAATGAGGCTGTAAATTTAAGTTTATTCATTTCTTCTATAATTTTAGTCAGTGTGTCTTGCAGAATAGCTGACAAAATACAAATATCTGACTCCACTAGGAGTCTTTATCTTATTATGACACTGGTATAATTTAATGTGGCCCAAATTATCCAGACTTTTTCCTATTTTATAACAGAATTGTGTTCTTCAGCTGTGTTTAGGGTCAGATCACATTTTCATTACACCACTGCCATTTCAACTTTCCATTTACCAGCATGGGCACAACCCTGTAGCTGGGCTCTATTCCCCAAAGGAAGCTGAAGCACCCCACTGCCCCGGGGTGTGTGCTCCCTGCAGCCCAAGGATAAGCTCGGTGCAGGCTGCAGCTCTCTGGAGCAGGTAAATCCCAATGGCACCTGCAAAAGAGTGCAGGGAACAGCATGAAGCACCCCAACTGCAATTCCCCAGCATTTCATGGCAGCAGATTTAGGGAGCTCCCATCTAAGCATCCAGTTACAGTTCTACAGATAAAACTAATCAGTGTATGACTAAGCTACTCCATTCTCCTCTAATATTTAGCTGCTATTCTGTATTATTTTATTGGCTCCTTGCTGAGGGGTGTGAAATGAGTTATGTGCAGGCTGAGAGAGGGCACCAATGGAAAAAATCCTTAGTAACTTTAATTTTAGCCAGTGGCTAGAGCAGAATGACTTGGGGTCTCCGATAATAAAGGAATGACATAGGGGAAAAGGCTTAGAAAACTAAGGGGAGAAGTGAATGGCAAAGGTACCCTGATGCACTTTGTTGAAAACAAAATGCAAAAAATCCAGTGGTGGTTCATTGTGTTTGGGGTTTTTTCCCCCTCATTTTTAAGTTCTAGAAAGTAGAGTTGGTTGATGGAGAAGATGGGACAGCAGAGATGTGCCAGTCCGCAGTACTGCTGTCCTGATTTCATTATCACTTGTCTCAAAACTCATCTCTCCATACCTCAGTCTTTACATCCTGTTCATAGTCTCACCATCCTAGAAAATTTTGAATGGCAGAGGAAATCCATCCATCTCCACAGTGAGCAGAAAGGCTCATATATACTCATTTGTTTCCTTCAAAGTAACACTTTCATCCAGTCATTATTAAAATATTAATTGACTAGAAAAAAAATCACTTGTGAAAAGCTGACAATGGCTTTTACTCTTTGGGGAAATTTTAGCAGCCTGTAAGAGGTCCTTCATGCAGACACAAACACAGCTCATGGAAAAGAAGGATTTGAATGAGCTGCTTTCATGGTTTGAAAACCTAATTGCCAAAGAGACTTACAGCAGCCACTGTGAGGATCGCTCCCTGCAAGAAACAACATAATAGAAACCATTGGGAAAGAATAAAGGAAGGGGAAAAGGGAGGGAGGGAGGGAGGGAGGGAGGAAGGAAGGGAGGAAGGGAGGAAGGGAGGAAGGAAGGAACACTGTTACTGGCACTCCCACCCATCAAGCAGCTGCCAGAATTTTCTATCTGAAGTTCCCCTGCCCATTGCAAGGCAGCAAGGGACTGGCTTCAGGGCTGCAGCTACGTGATGGGGGTGACAAAAATGTCAGTGTGATCCTGACAGGACCAGTTCCCAAGGAGAAGGTTTGACAGCAGGGACAGCTCTCCAATTCCCTGCTTCAGGCTTTACAGGCAATACCAATCTCAGTCAGTGGCTTGATCCTGTTAATGAAAACTTCTGTGCATCCACATTCCCTTAAAGTCACCTTGGTAACTCTGCCCCTTCCACCTGCAGTTCTCTCCTCACAGCACTGCCACTCCACCTCCAGAAATATGTATTTTTATGGATGAGTCTGGGTATTTTGGATGAGTAGATGATGGAAAGATGACAGCAAGCAGGAGTTGGGAACCCTTCAGATCTGTCCCACTTCCCAGCTACTGCTGTGACCCAAAGCCACTGCACCACTGGCCTGTGGGACAGGGAAAGCAACAGAAGCTCCTGTAGGGCTTTGGAAGGGACAATAAAGATTGTCCAGTTCCCACACCCCTTCTGTGGGCAGGGACACCTTCCACTAAACCAGGTGTTGGCATATTCTTTTTGGCTCTGTCACTTTATATTTATTATTAAAATGGTGCCAAGGCTACATCTGTGGCTACATCTCAAGTGTAAATAGTGCATTTGTGTACTACACAAATTTATGGAGTGGGTGTCTGTATGATGGATCAGTAAAATTCCACAGCATGTTTTAGGAATCAAACACAGACCCTTTATCAACAAGGTCAGACACATCAAGTGTATTAGAAATTTGCTCTCAGCATAAAAAGCAGATTAAAACATTAATTTTTGGTCTCAGCATGTTTTTGATTCAACCACATTAACTGTCTTTTCTCCCCTGTATGTTTTCAAAAGAATGACTTGTTTATAACAGGTTTAGCCAAGCTGGTGTTGGAAAGTGAATATGACCCTTCTTTCATTAAATATCAAGATCTAGACTTCCCCTTGTTGGAAGTACAAGCACTGAATTTATTTATGTCAGAGGCATGGAACACAAAACTCAGAGCACATGGATTAAAATCCAGCAGTTTCCTTAAGCAGTAATAACCATCTAACCAGGGCAGCACTAGCTAATCCTCCTAGCACTGGTGGCTTTTTCCTAGCCCAGGTCATATGCCTGGAGTTACACACTGGAACTGAATTCTGATCACCAGCACAGGGCAAGAGGTTCAGGACAGCTTCCCAGGAGGAAAAGGCCAGACTGCTACCAAATCACTGCCCAGGCCCTCCTGCCCCCTCACCCCTGCTCTCCACAAGCCACATCCTGGGTTTATCTGCTCAATAGCATTTCATTCTACAATGAATGTATGTTCTATGTGCAGTGTTACAAAACTCTGCGAAGCAAGAATGAACTTCTCAGGTCTCCCAGTTGATTCTTGGAAGCCCATTAAGGAATCAAGCAAGGTGCCTATGGGGACTTGCAAATGAAAAAAACAATTATTCTTTACTTAAATTGCTCAGATCAGCACCACGACTAATATTTGCTGGAGAGTCAAGTGATCTTGGTAGCTCATTGGCACCAAAGATTGTATTTTTCTCTGTAAAAATGTCACAAGCTAATTCTTAGTGGAGAAGGGATTGGTCTCAGGGCAGTTTGCACAGCTCCGTCCCCCAGCAGCTGTGCAGTGTTACCATTTTCAAAAGACTTATCAGTATTGCTATCTAAGGATCTTCCCTGGGCTGCATGATCCAGAGGCAGACACAACAAATTCTCCTCTGTAAATGTCAGCACTCGCACCTGGTGAGCTCTGGTTTCCCATTAACACACAGACGGAGGATCAGACCAGAGATCAAATGTCAGAGCTACCCATGGCAGGAAATTTATTCAGTTTAGATGGAAGTGAAAAAAAATACTGAAACTTTTTTTTTTCTAATTATATCTCTAGTTTTATGCAACATGTCATAAATTTAAGGTCAAGAGAATAGATGGAGGTTTTGAAAGGAGTTCTGATTTAAATCCCCCAAGAAAGACCGAGGGTGATCATTAATAAATTGTGGCTACCTTGATGCACCCAGAGGAAACTGCTGAGAGGTGGGGAATGGAGGCTGGACAAATTCACCTAGGAGAGCCTGACAAGTTTGAGATGACTCAGCTGTGAGAGGCACTGGGAAGCTGAATTCACTGCTCCCACCCATAGTGGCCTCTACCTCCACCAGCTGCAGAGCTCAGCCAGCATCTGCCCATCTTTTACTGCAGACAAAGTGCAGATGTGACTCCCTCTCACAACATGCTAGACATGGATTGGCATCCCTACTAGCCAGAGTTGGTGTCAGGGCTGCAGTTAGAGCTGGACATGGTTTGGCACTGGCTTAGAAAGAAAATAAGGGCATCCTTCTACAGCTGTGCAGGAGAACCCCCTGTTCCTGCACAGTTTCACACCAGCATATTGTGCTGAGTGCCTTTTCCATATTCAAGCAAATGAGCACTGAAACATTTATAAAACACTTGGTAAGTTCACATTTCATTTTTGCTATCTATTCATTTGGCATCCCATTCATATCCTCTTGTCTGACAGCACTGGCCACCTCTCTAAAGCAGGTTTTGAACTTGAGGTGTGTCTCAGCCCTCCCACTCTGGTGGGTCTTTCTCATCTCTAGTTTTCCAAATGACTTCCCAAAGCAGGAAAATGGGGAGGATGCAACAACTTTCAAAGTCACCTTCAGGAGCAAAGAATACAGGGCCCAGAAAAAACACACATTTAATTTCTTTGCAGCACAGGGAGGGACTCAGAGAATACAGAAGGCAGGATCTGGGATAAGAGCTACAGCCCTAGAGTAACACCAGCTGTGGAAACACATTTACAGTTGCTCAGGCTGTGTATGTGAAATCTTGCATGAACAACATATTTGCTATACAGTGTTAACACAGCAAGTGTCAAATACCAGTGCATGCCCAGAAGCAGTTGTAAACAGAGCTGGGAATCCAAAAACCATACCATGATCTGCAAGGGACAAAACAACAACAACAACAAAAAAAAAAAACACCAAAGAAAGGGCAGCTCAAGCTCTTGGCCTTGTTCTTCATGCTTCTTTGGTTCTGTATTTGGAATACAAGCAATACAGAATTCGCATTATAGCCTTCGGATCTCCGTTCACAATATCTGTGGATACACAAACCAGAGACAACAAAAACAGATGGGAAGTATTAGCAATCCCTGGAACAGGATGAGACTGCACCTGCCAAAGACAGTCTCCCACATTTCCCCATTTATAATGTGAACTTGGAAAACTGAATTGCAACAGGAAGCAAAATAGGAACTACAGAGGTAGAAACTAATAATTTATTAAATTAACATGATGAAAAGGGACTTCTGCTGCTGGAAGACAAATAAGAGCAAATAATGCAGAGCAAGAAATTCACTAGCAAAGAGCAGAGTAGATAATTTAATAGGGCTTTATATCTTGAGGGTTTTATGATTATTCTGTGTCAGGAATCATTATTTTTTTGTTGTACACTTTTTTTGTTGACACTTTATTTTTTGTTGTAGTAATTCCATCATGTTTTGCTGCCATTTGATGCTTTGTTTTTTATTGGATTTTTGGTTTTGTTTTGTTTCTATTGTTTGGAAGTTTTTTTTCGTTTAGTTTTCAGCTTCTTTCTTCTTGGCTATATAAACTGCTCTTTTATTTTAAAATCTCAGTGGAAGAGGGTAATGGATTCAGAGGGGTTTCTGTTCTTCTTATGGTACTGTAAATCACTGGGAGAAAGACCAACAAAGAAACACTAGTAAAATTAGATCCTTTTAGAGTCTAAATAGTGTAGCTCTAGCAATGACTCCTAAATAGTATTAAATTCACTCACTAGCTGAGGATTTCCACAGTGAAGGTAAAGGACTTGAGGATGCTGGCACCAGTATTTCTTATACTGATCAGCTCTGTGTTTGAGGCAGTGCAGAACAGCCATAGGGGAGGAAGGAAAGCCAAAGGGGAGGAAGAAAAAGATTTATTTATTTTCACACAAAAGGTGGATCTCAGCATGGAGACCTGAGCGCACACCCATTACTCTGTTAATGTTAACATAAATAAAAGCTCTGTAGCTTTCCAGGCTCCTAGCTCTGTGCAGCACAGCAAAAAGCCTACAGTTTGTGAATACCCAGCATGCAAACTGCTGACATCACCAAAGCAGTAGTGGGAAGAGAGAACAAAAGGAAAAACAAAGGAAGCCCTAAATCCTCTCTTTCCCTCTCCATGATACCATGTGTTATGTACCCAATGCATGCACCCACTCACAAATAACTAACAGGGAGCTAGAACTGGAATACTATTTGCTATTTTTAATAAAGATTTGACTTCCTTTTTCAGCAACAAGCTTGTAGAGGAATGCAGAGATTATGTGCCCTGCAAGAGGTCAGACTTCTCAACCACAGCACCACCCCAAAATTAACCACATCCCTCCTCCCATCAAGAGCTGTCACCAAATTTTTCTATGGAGTATTGACTCATCCAAATGTAGCTTGTTTGCTTGTTTTTGTGGTGGAGAAAGAAAGAGTAGCATGCATGTACATTGATTCAGTGATGGAAGCATTCACTTGAATGAAGGAAATCAAGATCCAGCTCCCAAGTCTTAACCAAGCATAACAGCCACTAAAAAACTGTGATTTTCATATTCAGGAGACTGACCCACCACTTTTCTGAGTTTGAATAGAGTGATCAGTGTTTCTGATTTTCCAGAGAAATTCTTCAAGGTATCTTCCCACAGAAACAAGCTTGCTTTTAATGCACTGAAAGTTTTTATGAGGCAGGAAAACAGCTTTGCCTCCAGCTCAGCTGCTGTAATTTCCCTAGGAGCTGTCACTGGTTTAAAATTTAACAAATACTGAATTACTAAACCGTTTAAGTTTAGTGTAAAGTTACTTAACTTATAATAACCCAACTTTTTTAGTATAGAAATAATGATTTTTTTAAAAAAGGTCTTTTGGAGCTGTAGGGCAGCCATGTAAGGAAATGTGCCAGTGTCATTTCCAGAACCCGCTTCCTGCAATTACCTGAAATTTTGCTAAGCTGGGATGTTAGCAGTTCTATTCCAGGTAAGTTTGCATGTCATGACTCACCTTCAGAGTTCACAGGAAAATTCAGAAGGCCTCCCTCTGCTAGCAACTCCAGTGCCAGGTTAACATTGTGGAGCTGTTGGAGAGAGAGAGATATATTAATATAGCTGACAATATTTTCTAACCAAAAAAAGGTTTTAAAAGTATTTCTCTAGTAGCTGAAGAACTGATTCATAAATATGTATTCGTATTCCTCTCCTTAGTTTTGATTAAGTGCTCTTCAGAATTTTTACCAATTATCATATAAAATTAGATGTAAAATCCATCTCCAGCAAAACATATCCCATGAGGTGGGCAGAAGAATCCATTTATTTAAAAATAGACATTGCATGTAAAAGACTTGTGTTAGTGGGGAAAACAGGCTAGATTCCTAACTGGATCTAATGGATGCATGGAGTATATTTCTGGGTATTTTTAAGCAATGTTCATATGCTTACCACACTTGGAACAAATGAAAAGGGAAAAGTTCTCTATATTTCCTTCAGAATTGCAAAGATCAGGTATGATTGTTAGCTACAAGTTTCTGCTGTACTTCTAAAATGTCTATTCACATTAATAGTAGTGATCATATCCTTAATAACACTCATGAGAAATTAAGCCCACGTCTATGAATGAAGGCTGAGGAGTTTTTTTCTCATTTTTCCTTACTGCTTTTTTCTTTCCCTTCCCCACATAAAAGCAGCATCATACACATAAGCAGTAGTTGTAATCAATTTTTTTAAAGTAATATCACCTTCTAACAGCTTAAGGGTAGTTGTGTACTTGGCTGGTAATTAGCAAATTCCCTTCCTCTAAAGGAGTAACAAGACCTGGATGAACTTCAGATTGTCTCTTCCTGCCTTCCCTGAGCTACTGGGCAGTCTGGGCAATTTATCCTTTGGGAGGCTGCTGTTCCTTGTTATGTTGTGACAATAAGCACAGGAGTCTCCCCTGCACAAGCCAGGCAAAACCCCCGTGCTCTGAAGTGAAGCAACAGATTTATGTTTCACTTGGTTCTCTGGTTTACAAGCAACTGAGGCTGCCTGTTTGGATTCAGGTTTGTTTCCTTCCTCTGATAGTCAGCAGACAGGAGAGCTTAAGACCATGCAGTTCTACACAATTTGCTAATTGGAATAAATAAATCAAATGTTTCCTTAGTGAACCAGCACAGGCAAAAAGGGAACATTTCCCTTTCTGTAATATATCGGGGATTTTCAAGGAATGGCAACATGTGCATTTCAAAAAGCATCTTCAGACAGAAATAACAGTAATTCCCCAAGAAAGGGAAGCCGTGAAAATAAGGTGCTTTTTCCAGCTGTGCTTTCTGACTCAAAAGAGTTGGACAGTTTTCTAGAATTTACAACTGGACAGCAGCCAGGACATCTGGGGTGTTTCAGCTCTGGGCCTGTTTTGGCAAAAGAACCAAATTCACACAGTTTTGACAAGCACACGAGCCCTCCATCATCATCATAATCTTCATCTCATGACTGTGCAGATATCACCCCTAGTTTCAGCCTGAACTATTTTGTGATTGTATTCTTTGTCTCAGAAAACACACACATTTCTACATTCACGAGCACCCAGAGCTGCTTTAAAGTTACTTGTAAATGCCTTTTTTAGCAATAAAGACCCCAAAAAAACTTGCTGCAAACCTGCCCATGTGCAGTGTTAGCTTCTTGCACCTCAAAATTGATCATCTCCTAAATTTCTGTCATGAAATTGTTTTGGTTACAAGGAAATGTAAGGTGGATGCACCACACTGATCCCAACAGCGCATGTGGTTGTCACCATTCCAACAACAAATGAGATCTTTTAAATCCCAGCAGAGGCTATGTCTTTATACTTTACTGCACCAATTAATGTCTAAAATAACAGGGAGTTAGAAAGCACAGGAGAATTGAAAGACATGTTTTGTGTACAAATGACAGCTGGACTATGGCTGATCGATATTTTTAGTTGTCATCCCACTTTTCATTTTGTAATGAGCATCAGAGGAGAAACAAATTGGAAATACCACTTCGGCAAACTGTTCAACAGTAAGTCCAGTCCTTAGGAGTAACTTTGCTAAAATGAAATTATTGTACTGAAGCAGTACCCAACCCCATTCTATTCTTCTCTGATGCCAGTGATGGGCAGGGTAGGAACTAGAAAGTCTGAGCTTTGATTTGTACCAGAATTGTACCAGGGCTATCTCATTTCCAGAAAGACATCTGTGAGGCTAGAATAGGGCTGAACCAAAAGGAAAATGGTTATTTATGAATTTTTAAATAAGAAAATATTCCGTGACTTCCTCTGAATAAAGCTAATGGAAATGTTAAAAATTTCTGTCCAACTCAATGGGAACAGACCAAACAATTTTGAAAACTAAGTGGAAGAGAAAGGGAAGAAAAACAACTCTAAGGAAATGTTTTGATCATGTCTGATTAGATGCTTCAAAATATATTTTCCCTGTTCTTGGATTTAAAAAAAAGATAAAACAAAAAACAAAAAACCTACTTTTTTTTCCTAATACTTTGAACAGTTACCAACTGACAGCAATAAAATTTTGACAACATTTGAACCTAGGTGTCAAACAATTGTGCTTTTAAACTTTCTGATGAAAAGCTCCATGGGAATATTTATTTGTTAATATAGGACCTCTGAGAATTTTTGTTACAAATAAATATTGCCCAGGGGCATTAACTGTGCCAGGGTTGGGGAAAAGATGAAAGCTTCATCTGTGCAGGGAAGCCGTAATGCAAACCATGCCAGAGGAGAGATTTTCTTCTCTGGCAGCTCTCAAGCAAAAAAGATCTGACACATTTCACTTCCAGAGATTTGAGCACAAAACAGAAAAAATAGCTACAGTTTCAAGATTTTCAGAGCTACTCAGAGACCCAAGTGAATAAAAGCCTACCCACACCAGAGACAATCTGAAAATACCTCAAATATCTCAAAATATATCAACATTCCAGACCTGTGGAGGAGGCAGCCCAGCACACACTTCCTTCTGGCTGGTGACAGCTTTTACTTTTAAAGCACAGATGAAATCTGCCTGGTAGAGGTGGAAAGAGATGCCAAGCAGGTCTGGCTGAGTATGTTACAGCCCCCAGCCTTGGGGGAGGAAAGGATGTAAACTCTCAAGAGTTACCCAAACACAGAAGGGACCTTCAAAATGTTCTGGCCATGTCTTGATTAAGGTATATTTTTAGGGCAACATAAAGGAACTTACAGGGATCCATTTCTGCTCTGCAAGATGTGTCATCCTCTTCAAATCCTGTTTGCAGCATAGACTGGTAGAAGACAACACACCCATTTTCCAGCACACAGAGCCCTGGATTTCACCAGAAGGCTGCAGAAGCATGGCCAATGCCAAACAAGTGCAAGTAACAGGTGTTTGCCTCCCATGAGAAGTTAATTTTGAAGAGGACACTGACCTGTTCTGAGATATTTTGACAGCACTGAGTGCCTGTGTTGGCACTGCCCCAAACCCCCCTCCTGCAAACACTGTGGGCATGGAAGTCCACACACAGCAGCAGCAGTGCAAGCAAGAGGCAGAACACACAGTTTTATGGCTCAAGCTCTACATAATTACAGAACAACCTACCATTTCCATGGTGCTGGCCGGAGTCAGGAAGAAATTCCTTAAATTCAGAAAGTAACCCTCTAGTTGTCCAATTAGGAGAAGTAAGATAACCCCATCTGAAAACTAGATAAGAATTACCTGAAAATTATTGCCTTTAGTAAGCTATTCCAGTAAATGCCATTCTAGCAACAAAGGAATTTAAATGTTACTCAGGCAAGCAGACAGTCTAATGACCCAGCTCCCTCAACCTCTTCCACAGTGAACTTCATGTTTAATTAGGTAAGGCTCCCAAATTCATATTTGTGAAAATACAACCTTGTAAAAGGACAGCTATTAAAACAAACAACTCCAAATAGGAAAACACTTCAGATGAGCACAAATGCATATCTATAAATAATAGAAAATTGTGCCTAGTTAGGTATGACAAAACACTTGAAAACCTTCTTTTCTTACAGTTACCCACTGGAAAAGTTCAGAAGGGCACCTGAGTGCTCTTTTCACCAGAGCCCAGGGTGCTCAGCCCAAATTCTCTTGCAATTTCATACTCTAAAGAAGCTCTACAGTCAAGGATGAGACTTTAAAATGTGATGAAAATAAGGCCTTCATACCATGAAGCAAATGCAACATCAACAATCACTAAATACAAGAATCAACTTGATTTCCATTTTAATGTTCTGGAGACTTTTATTTCCATCCTGACAAAGAGAGCATCCTTAGGAGCTGGGCAGACTCTGAAAATTACTCCCTGTAGCATTACAAAAGACAGCATTCAATACAAAGGCTGTATTTTTGCATTAATTATTAGCTTCAGAAACTTCAGAGACCAAAGCTGGGTATCTTTACTTAAACCTGGAAATCATTATGTTGCCAAATTTCAAATTTACTGTAATAAAAAGGAGAATTCCTAATGGTGAGAGGGAACACCCAAGCTGCTGACAAAACATGGGTACCATGCAGCTTGGAGCACGCTACCTGAGATTCGATGTCTTTCACATTTATTCCTAATTTTCCAACATGCTGGTCAACAAATTCCAAAAGTGCCTAAAGAAATAAAGGGAAGAAAGAGGGGAAGGAAAAAATAACTTTTCTAGACTTTTCTAGTATTTAAGCTCAGCCTAACAGATTTTGATGTCTATTTAAAAAGTAAATTACCTTTTTTACAGCATCCAGTTTATCTGGATCACAGCTAAATAATTCATCAAAGGCATCATCTTCTGTATCAAAACAACATTAATTGGTTTCATTTTTAATAACTGAGAGATCAGAGCTTTAATGTGGCTACAGAAGGAGAAAGGTATTTGCAACTTACAATCCAAGGAGGAAAAGAGTAGCAGGGAGGCAGACAAAGATGCTCCTTTTATATTTATCAGAGGACAGGATGACAGGCTTCCCTTCAGCCTGACCACATCAGAGAAAACAATTTACTTCATTCAGTTCTGTAATTTTCTCCTGCAGAGGTTCTCAGTTTGTGCTGCCACCAGTCTGAACACTGGCTAAGTTTCACAATACTATGGTTTATTTCTTTTCACTTAGGTGTTTTTTTTACCCTGAACTTCTGAGATAAAATGCAGGGAGCAGAAGAGCTGTGTGTTTTACTGCTCTCCTCAAACAGAAATGTCAGTTACACCAAATTTGGAGAAAAATACCAATCCTCCTTCCTTCAAAAAACCACAAGCAAGATACGGAGACTCTGCCCTTCCTCTGAAAAAGAGACCTCAAAAATGGCCAGTTCTGCCACCCAGTTTAAAGTGGGTGAAGAGCTGGTGCCAGCAGAGCAGTGCCAGCGAACTAGCAGGAGTCTAAAACTTCCAAGGAAATGAAATCCATCCAAGTCCCAACCTTCACCTCCCCTTTCTGCCCAGGTGCAGCAAAAGCAGGATCCATCTCCTCACCCAGCCACAACCTGGCTCTGGTTCAAGCATGGGCAAAATATTTGACACTCCCCGAAAAGGAGAGGCTCCCTGGCAGCTCAGTTAAATGGAGAACCAGCTTCTACAGCACAGGAAAGCAGAGGCAGCTTTGCTTAAGGGAAATTCCTCCCAAAAGATAGTGACAGAGCAGCCTCCTTGGTGAAAGGGATTCCTCTTGTTTCTCTGTTCTGCGGGTTGCTGCAGGAGCAATGCCAGGGAATAGGTGAATCCATCAAACAAATCAGAGAGAGCCCTCTTCTGGAGCCACACTTTGGGATTTCTCTCTTTGCTAAGAAAGCTGTATCAAAAATAGAGGGAGAGCATCTTGAAGAGTGAATTGCAGATTTCTCTTCCCAGCAGAATCAGCTCACGACAAGAAACACCTAATTATGGGTTAGGGTTTTTTCTTGCCTTTTTTTTTTTTTTTTTCCTAGTTTTATTTTCCCTTTTTTTTTGCTTGGGGCAGGGGGTGAGAGTTGGAGTTTTTTTCACAATTTCAGCCCACACTATAGAACACTCAGTGGAATAAGTGATAAACAGATATTAAATTATATCATTTGCACCTCTGCAAAGGATGAAAATGCCAAAATAAAGGACACAGAAGAGAATTCAAACCATTCCCTTGGTTCTCTAGGGGTGCAGTGTGCTCCTTTGCATCAGGGAAGAGCAGCTCACACTGAACCTGGAGCATGTGCCCAGACCTTCTGGAGACTTTGCCCACGGGGACATTTTTCACCTCAAGTGTTTCCCAGACTTCAAAATCCCTAAGGGTAAAAGCTCTGGGGAATGTTTGACTGAGCTGCCATCCACGACGCAGTACCAGTGGATTTCAAAATCTCATTTGCAAACTGTGGGAAGGAAAGTACAAAACCTGGTAGCAATGAGAAACACAGTTCTGAAACCTTTATAAATAGTTCCAACAGTGAACATGGTCCATGCACAAATCCAAGCTGGCATTTTGCCCCCAGCCAGGTTTCTTTTTTGGGTCATCAACCCACTTTCATGCCCTGTCTCCCCTCCCATCTGGTGCCTGTAGCCCACAGGCAAAGTGACCACCCATTTTCCAAGCTGTATTCTGTTGGTATGAGCAGGCAGTAACAGAAGACATTTGGAGAAAAACACGAGGAAAAATCCATTAATCTCCATTAACTTTAGTGGGAGCATACTGATTTTATCATGGGGTAAAAATGGATCAGGACATGGTGTATAAAAGCACATAACAAAACACTGAACTTGGCAATGCCAGCACTTACTTGACTGCGCTTCTATATTCTCTCTGGAAGTGCAATAAAAAGCAAGAATTAGAAAAATGATTCAGCAGAGCTGATCTTGTTCATAAGCTTTGCTTATCTGCTGTCCTGTAAAGCAGGAGATAGAGTTCAAAGTGGCATTAACTTTATTTCAGGGTGACTTTCCAACAGACATTTTTAAGTAGATTGTATATCTGTGTAGGGTCTTGGAAACATATGAGATTTTAACTGGCCCACACACCAATGAACATTTATTTTACAAGCACAATACTCAATATCCTCTTCCAAAAAGCTGCTCATGGTATTAGAGCTTGAAGATGTTTTGGCATATAAAAAATGACAGTAGGAAAATCTGTTTACAGTTCTTAGAATGATGTGCATGTTTTTTTGGTATATAAATGGTATCCTACTAAACTCCTTTAATAATGGCAATACCTCACACACTCAGCAAGCTAAAACATTTCTTTCACAGTAAAATAAGAAAATAACAGCCTCCTTTCTCCTTATTTATAAAAAAAAAACAGCAACAAATTTAAAGTAGGTTTAAACCTTTGTGGCTTTAGAAAATTTCCAGTTTAGTCTGGCACAGGTAAATTTACAGTACCGAAATGTTATTACTATATTTGCTATGAAATTCCCTGGCAATAACAAATGCTAAGTTTAAGGAATAATCATACATATTGTTTTATATATATATAGAATAAATAAAGGTATTGCACCATAATGCCAAACGGGAAGAGGGGAATAAAAAAAAGAGAAGAAATCAGAGAAACAGCTCACATGCATTTACCTGCCTGGGCTTACACCTTTTTCATCATCATGATCCCAGCTACTTTTTGCAAGGGGGAACACACCCACAATGTTTCTTTTCTGATTGACAGTGTAAAAAACAGATATGTCCCCACTTACTTGTTTTCTGTGATATATTCCACGGCATTTGATGTCTTTAATCCTACAGAGGTGACCTGTTGAAAGGACAGTAAACAGTGTTGGGTTTGTCACACAAAAATATTCCTTAAACAAGCTTTCATGACCTGTTTGCTGCCTTAAATGATTATCAGAGGGTACTCAGTCAATAACTCCAGTACAATTAGTACAGATACTTTGAGAGATTTCTGCTTCCTTCTGCTCTCTTCAGTCTCAAACAGGAAATCTCTTACTTCCTCATCAGAGGAAGTCCTTGGTGTTTGCTGCTCTTCCCTTTCATGCAGTGAAAAACATTGTGTTTACATACACTGGTGGTGTAATTTTTGCAATTATAGATATTTAAATATATTTATTGTAAATAAATATAAAATAAATACATATTATAAAATATAATAATAAAATAAATAAATCATCTCCTACAGTCTCAGAACAGACTTTAAGAAACAAAATAGAGAAGACATGTAGATATCTGCTTGTAAAGAAAAATACCAAAATGTTACCCTAACAGAAAGGGAGTAAAAACTCCCATCACCTAAAGAAAGAAATATTCAGCATCAAAAATACTTAATGATTTATGAATACAATTTTCTATTTTAAAATATTTAGAGACAGTAACACTAGAATTTCTTCATTTTCTTCTTTACAGAGGTCAACATCTGCTTTCAGTTTCGACCATTCCCTTGTTTGGCTGAGGAAGAAAAACAGCATAGTGCTTTTCCCCTTTTAAAGACAGAGTATCCAAACTGAATACTCAATCTAATCCAACAATCTCGGAAATGGAAAGGTGTGGTTCACAGAAAATACGAGTATCTCTTTCACAGCTGCACACACATTTCTTCTAATTCTAAGCAGGTTAGCCTTGTGAAAGGACTCTAGGATCTACTGTAACAAATACTGAAACTACAAATACCTCGATGGTGATTGTCTCCACTTGAACATTTGGAGGCAGAGCCAGGGTGGGTTCAAAGTGCTTTGCTATTGCAACAAGAAGATGCAGCGTGCTCAGTAAGTCCTTTGCTAAGATAGCTATAAAGGAAGAAAACAATGCTCAGTGTGCAAAACCTGTGAACTTCCCTCCAACATCATGAATTCTCCCTGTGCAGAGAACCCCAAAGTCACAGAGAGCCATAACACTGGTGGGACACCAGATTGCAGTTTGTATAATATCAAAATTTAGCAATAGCACAGCTTAAAAGTGAGATATACAGGGAAGCTGAGGGCTCTTAAGTGATTCACAAGCCGCACACTTAGAGGAGGCAGACCCAGGCAGGTCAGATATTTCTGTCTCACTTTTGATTCAACTAGTAATTGAAAACAGGTTGTTTAATTACTGTTCTGGGAGCACATTGCCTTACAGCAGCCTTATAGCACAAGAAGCCTGTGATGAATAATTTTTCTTCGATTTCACTTCTGCACCTACATTCCACACTCCATTTCAGCTGACTTTCTTCCAGTTGCAAACACTTGGCCACGACTTCCAGAATCACTGAGAGTTTCTTTCGCTGTTTTTTTTCTGTTAATGCAATCTTCTCAACATCCAGCCTGAGAGATCCTAAATTTTCTTTTACAGAGGATCCATAGGAAGAAGAAGGATGTATTTTAACATTATTGTAGGGAAAAAGAAAATAATTAGAAACATAAAATGACAGTGGAGCACACAAACTCTTGTTTTGAATGTGCAGTATCAATTAAGAGCCCTGCAAAAGGGAGAGGACTCAAGTCACTCCTTTTAGCATCATCCCCCAGCCCTAGCTCTTTCCATTTCTTCTACAGAAATCCAAGGAGTGAATCTTTTCTGTAGATAATGTACAAAGTCGATATCAATTCATATATAGAAGTTCATTGCTCAGGCAAGTAACTATGAAAAATCAGCCAGTCCTGCTCATGCTGCTGCTCTCAGCCCTGGTGGAAAGGAAATAGATTTAAAAGGCTACCCCAAGGAGAGTAAAAAGGGAAAGAAAAATGTAGTAGGGACAGGAGAGATGGAGAAATAGGTAACAGACTGTTCTAGGAGGCCACATCTTTATACAAGCACCACATAGTGCCAAAAACCTCTTAGATTTTACCAGTTCCAGAACCAGAACAGTTCTTTGGACCCAGCTTTTAATTTTATTTTTTTTTTAAATGCAGGAAAACATATATTACAGTGCTGATTCCATCCAATGTTTTTGGTAGCACCACAAGCCACCTTTGTGTCCCTGGTTTATGTTCCTGGTTTGTGTTCCTCCTTCATTTCAGAAGTGCTGAATTTCACACTTCATAGTTAACCTTTCAATTATGTCAACTAGCAGGTATTAAGAATTTCTTAGAAGTAAAATAACCATGTGAAACAATAATGGGAATTTGTTCAGAATTGTGATTATCACAGCTGGCCCTCAGTGCAGTGAGAAGTGATGACAGGTCCCTGCTACTGTGATTCCTGAGGTTTATTCTCTGATTGGAAAGCTCCTCCATGAGATGTCTGCAAGAGCTAAACTCAAAGGACCAGCTCACCCAGGAGATGATGAAGTACCAGCCCATCATACAGGTCTTCTTCCAGACTTTTAACTACTATGTGTTCCTCTTTCAGAGTTCTGTTGATCCACTCAGTCAAGAACTGCAGGGGAAAACAAAGCAATTATAATCCTGTTGTTCAGACAGCACAGCACTCAGTGCTATATTTTGTTTCACCTCTCTCTTCAGTCCCTTATCTCAGATCTTGGTTTGCTTTCAATCTCCACTTCCTTTGTGCTTTTTGGTTGTTTTCTAAAGGGTTAGTTTTTCCTAATAATCAAGTGAGACAGACATCTTGCTATTTACAGTCTGAGGAATTATGTTATACAGCTTGAGAGACACTCTACCCGCTTCCACCAGGGAAAAGGCTGCACAGTACACTTCCCATCCCCTGCCTTCATCCCACATCACAGAATTCACACAAATTCAATTGCCAGGCAGAAGTTTGTAAGAAAAAAAATCTTGGCTCATTCTGTGGGTAGTTTCTTGTACTCATCCACACTATTAGCACTCCTTCCTCTCATCCCCTGATTTTGTTTTCTTTTTCTTTCTGCAATATTGTACCACTCAATCCCCAAATACCTCCTTGGAACTTTCTTACATGGTAGTCCTCCCACTGGCCTTTCAATATCCTTCCTGCCTTTGCAAAGGGGAAGCTGCTCAGGAAGCCAAGGTCTGGCTACAAAAGGAGAGGAACCACATGTGCTTCTAGATGGAAGAACAAAGCAGTTCCTCAGTGCTTCTCCAAGCATGTGTTTTATTCACATGTGTTGAGGGAAAAGGAATATGACCTGGTGAAGCAGAACAGAAAAGCAGTAGCCCCAGCTGTCTGCCAACATGAGCATCCCTCTTGTAAGAGGGAAGGGTATTGCTTTTATTGCTGTGATTGTTATGAGTGAGTGTCTGGAGTGGATTATATCCTTCTCACTTGCTGTAAACAGAGGAGAAAATTCGTACCAGATTCCTGTAAGCTCGCCAACATTAACAAAAATGTAAGAACAGTTTGAAAAGTCTCTGAGAAGCTTGAAACTGCACAAGAAATAAAAAAGCCTGAACTGGGAAGCTGTCAAACTGTAAAAGGCATCCTCAGCTAAGAAATAACAAGAGCAGAAAGCTGTGCTCTTCAGCTGATGCTTGGTGACTCTTTGGAGGTGTGAGGGGTAGAGCAGAACCCTGAACACAAGAGTCCAGCCAGAAGGAAGTCAGAAAAGCAGCAAGCACTGCTGAGCAGCCCTATGGCATCCCTCCTTTGCTCTCCCAGCCTGCAGCTCACACAGTTCTGCTTTCTGCCCAGTTGTGGGGGCCCCACTCAGCTGCAGAGCAGATCCTCCTGTCTACAAATGAGCAAACAGGGAAAGGAGAAAAGGAATACTTTGTGAAGTTTGCTGCTGGCTTCCAAATTTAACCATCTTCTATTTTACATGCAGCTGGATATTTATAGCAACTACAGGAAGCCATTTCGTATTTCTCACTTCTCCAAAGCCACTTCAAAATGAAAATGCAGTGAAAGTTCTCTCCCCAGTGAGTTTCTTTGCTTCCCTTGTTCTTCCCTAGAAGATTCCTCCCTGTCCCTGTCTCCATCCCAAATGTTTCTCTAGAGAAGCCATCAAATCTTTAGATTAGGAAGGCAATCAAGGGGCACTGATGGAAACCTAGAGGACTTTGTCTCCCTCAGGACACAATTTCCATCTCCTCATCACCCAAATAAAAGACATTAGACAGTGATGAACATCATTTCAGGAATCTCTGACAGGAAATGGATTAATCACTGAAGTTCACAGAAATTTTCATAACTGAGGAAAACTCTTGATTTTCGGTAATCTCAAAATAACAAATCCAGTCTTTCTGTAGACAACATAATTGATTTTGCAGCACCACTTTTCAGGCTTTCCCTTTGGTATAACAACATCATGAAAACCTGACACAAAATCAAAACTTTTTGATCAAATGTGCATGAATACCTAATATAGAAACACACCTACCTACATGTTTATAAATGCTACAAAATGCAAACAACAGCACATATCTTAAGCTGCTTTTCATAATATTTATAACAATTTCAGCACCTCTATAATGCAAGGAGTGCATAAGACACATGCCATTTTTCTTCCAGGAAGTTTTATTATGTGGACTGTGTCATTAGAGAAATTGAAACAGTGATTGAACTCACTGGGGAGACTTTCAAAATTAGATGGAAATAAAGGACTTGCCTGTGGAATAGGACTCATCCTTCACAGTTACCTCAAGAAGGTAATGCACCATAGAAGGGCCTGAAAGCTTTCATCCTGAATTCCTGGTAACTTGCATACTCTTCATCCCATCCCCCTCTGCTCTCTGCTAACCTTGCCAGCTGAGCCAGCTGCTGGTGAAGGCTGCTGCAAATCAGTAGAGGATTCCTAAAAGTTACCATGGGATCAGTGCAGCAAACTTGCACCATATCTCTTTTTAGTCACAGCAAATGCTGACACTTCTGCTTGAGATCCCAAGATTTCCAAGAATCCCTGGATTCTTGTAGCTGCTACATTACCATCACAATGAAAGAGCAACTGGGTGCTTCTGGTGTGGCTCACGAACACAGCCCAGGTTAGGAGAGGTGTCACATCAGAAGCCACTCAGGTTTGTATCTGCACTCCACACCCAGCAGTGCTCACTGCATTGGAAGCTTGATCCTGTATGGCCTCAGCCACCCTGATGCTGTCCTGGAACAAAAGTTTGGCTTCCTTTGTGTGAAGCCCAAATGCCAAAAGCAGAGTTCATTCCCATCTGTAGAGATTGGGGACTAGGGTCAGAGGGCTGGGCAATTTACAGGGCTGAAAGAGGTTAAAGAACCAGGTTCTTTGTTTGCTTTAGCACAACTCGTGGTGAGGGTTAAACAATGCAGTAAAAGAAGTGGTACCAGTTTCAATTCTTCCAGTTTGGGGTTGTTGCTTGAGGTTGGTTTTATGAGTTTTCTCTTCTCGCCTGTGGAAGGAAGCAAACAAGATCCATCACAGTTATCAGATATGACTAAAGCAAGTGCAGCTAAATCTGCTATCAGTTTGATATTCCCAATATTGCTGATTGCCCGATGTAGAAGCATTTATTTTTCATTTTAGCTAATTCCTTATGAGCAAAAAACTGGTATAGCAGACTACTAAACTTGCTGTTGGAAATTATGCTTCAGTGTACTTCAAATGAGTAAGATCTAGATGGACAATTCTAGAAAGAGGAAAACACACTTAGTCAGATATGTGTGAAACTTAAATTTCAGTTAAAGGACCAGCTGGCCTTTTTTTGATTCTTCATGATCTGCCCCCAAAGAGTCAGCAGCCAAATGACACACACAGGGCTTACTCATTTCTGATACAGCCATGGGATCACTGCTGAAAAATATAGAATTCATTTGTGCAGCACATTTTCTGTTTGGCCCTTCAGGTGATTCTTTGGCATTTTTACTGTCCTGGTTCATAAAGCACATACCTTTAGCAATGACATCTGCAGTTAGGAATTGATCAGGTGTAGAAGGCTGTGTAAATGCATTTAAAAAGTCTGGATCCATTATCTTTAATCACTCCTGGTAAACTGGTAAAAAACATTGGGGGGAAGGGAACATGAGTAAAGGGACATAAAGATCCAAATTAGTGCTAAGAAAACAAACAAACTGAAGGGGGTTTTTTTATCAGTTACTATTTCATCACTAGCTGCTTTTAAAAAAATCTGAAAATATATTTAAATGTGTGCAAAGAAAAAGAAGTTAAAAAAAATTTTCATTATTTTGTGTTAATCATCAAAACGTAGGAAAAAAAGACCTGAAGACCTGAACTAAAACTTGTTTTAATCACATCTAATTGTATTTTCCCTGTATTAGATAAGTAAAATCCTATTTCAGCTGAAGCGAAAAAAAGCTTCCCTAGGTATTCATGGATATGAAATACCATGAATGCTAGAAAATATAAAAATTATCAGTACTTAAGGAGTATTAAATCAAGAACCCAGTAGTTATATTACTGAGACAAGTTACTAAATATAAGCAGCTTCCTTTATTGGAACAGCTGGTACAGATGTGGGGAGACAAGGACAGATATTGGCATCTGAATAGTCTCTTTTACAAATTCTAGTATAGAGTCATAGACTCAGTTAAATTGGAAAAAAACCTCTGAGAACATTGAGTCCCAACTGTTCATCCACCACAAAACCGTGTTCCCAAGTGCCACATCTGCATTGCTTTTGTATCTTTCCAGGGATGGTGACTCCAACACTTCCCTGGGCAGCCCCTTCCAATGCCTGAGAACCTTTTCAGTGCAAAAATTTTCCCTCATGTCCAACCTGACCCTGCCCTGGCACAGCTTGAGGCCATTTCTTCTCATCCCATCATTTGTTCCCTGGGAGCAGAGCCCAATCCCCCACAGCTGTCCCCTCCTGTCAGGGAGTTTTGCAGAGCCAGAAGGGCCCCCCTGAGCCTCCTTTTCTCCAGGCTGAGCCCCCCCAGCTCCCTCAGACCCTCCTGGTGATCCAGACCCTTCCCCAGCTCCGTTCCATTCTCTGGACACGCTCCAGCCCCTCAATGTCCATTTCCTGTCCTGAGGTTCCCAGAAGTGCCCCAGGATCTGAGGTGTGGCCCCAGCAGTGCCAGCCCAGGGGACAGTCACTGCCCTGGCCCTGCTGCCACACCATGGCTGGCACAGCCCAGGTGCCATTGGCCTCCTGCCCCCCTGGGCACACCTGGCTCCTGTCCAGCTGCTGTCCCCAGCACCCCCAGGGCCTTTCCCAGCTTTCCAGCCCCTCTGCCCCAGCCTGGAGCTGTAGGGGGTTGGTGTGACCCAAAGCAGGACCAGGCCCTTGGCCTTGTGGAATCTCAGAGCACTGGCCTGGGCCCATGGATCCAGCCTGTTCAGATGCCTCTGCAGAGCCTTCCTGCCCTCCAGCAGATCCACACTCCCACCCAGCTGGATGCTGTCCATGAACTGACTGGGTGTGGCCTTGATTGCCTTGTCCAGATCATCAATAAAGACATTAAACTGGCCCCAGAGCTGAGCCCTGGAGACTCCTTGGGACTGGTCACCATCTGGATTTTACTCCATTTCCCACTGCTCTCTGGGCCCAGCCTTCCAGACATGCAAGAAGCAAAATGGTTCTTCATAAACTAAATGCACACTGATTTAAGTGCCAGAAATCAGAATTACAAACTGCAACTGTACTGTGGCCTGCAGAGGTGAAAGAAATTACAGGAGGATGAGGGCTCTGGACACTTAGAGCAGACTACAGTTCTAGCATGAGTAAGAGAACTCATCCTTCCCAACAGTCCAAAAATCTTTGGAAGTCAGAGCAGAGCAGTTGTCATGACCAGACTTTTACTGCTGGGCCACTGTAGGAGAGGGAGAGGGGATGCTGACTGGTTTTGTGGTTTTTTTTAACAGAAAATAAGATGCTCCAGAGGTTCCTGCAGGAGAGTTCTTCCACTCCCTACCCATGGTGCCCACATTGAGAGCCCTGTTTCCTAACTCCTCCTGTGAAATGAGTGGAAATGGGACTTTTAAAAAACAACCCAGAGCATTTAAATGAGTAGTTAATCCTAGTTTTAGGAAAAGAAACTTTCTAAAGTGCACTTCAGGCACCTGGCTGGTGCTGCAGCTGCCTGAAGTGAGGTGCTTCCACCACTCAGAGCAAGGCACCTGCTGAAAATGCTGTAGCACAGAACATCTCCAAAGTGACCTTCCTCTGCTTGATAGCTTTATACACCAAAGAGCACAGTGCTGCTCTGAAGGCTTTCGCATATTTCTTACAAAGGCCAGTCAGTATGTTATGAACATGTGTTTTAACAAAGATTTGCCAAAGCTGACAGAATATGAGTAGAAAATAGTAATTGGATGCTTTTGCACATCACTCTGGTAAAACGAATTGGTACAAAATTGCCAGCAAGGCACTAGGAGAAAGGGTCACAAGAGAATTAATTTCATTATGGTGGCGGCAAAACTGAATGCCATCTGTAAAAAGGTGCTTGATTGAAAAAGATAGGAGAAATTGAGTGATGTAGTGCCTGAGGAACAACTGAGCTGTGTGAGATAAGACTGCCCAGATGAAATTAACTGAGAGAAGTTAATTAACAGAGAGCAACCCAAAGGACAACTTATTTTTAAATTAGGTTTCTGACAGCTGTGATGCCTTGGGGAAGTCCAGCTTATAACAGAAATGGCCTGTGTAAACCACAACTTATTCTCACTCAGCTTTGCAATATTCCATTTGTGTATCTTTTACTTCCTTCAACTATCTTTTTGGCCAAGGAACCTGAACATCAGAAGCCACTCTAAAATTTGGAAACCTGTAAGGAAAGGCCTGAAATTCAGAATTTGCAATAAGGTGGCATAATACCCTCTAGGGCCTCAGTCCTGTGTGTCAATCAGAGTTAAAATTACTACCCTGGGCAAGATTAACTTGCCTGGTATCCAGTCCCCCCCCTTTCAGTACCTTAGGGGAAAAAAAAAAAAAAAAAAACAGAACCCCAAAATATATAAGCAGTGCAAGGATATAGAGACATTTCTCCAAAACACTTTACCAGTCTGCAGTTCAGACTTCCCAAAGCAAAGCTGGGGGGCCTGGTCACTAGGAGCTGTCAACACATTTGCTCCCCATGAACTCCCTGCTCACCCCTTGAACATGTGTCTGTCTCTCTCAGCCCTCAGCAGTGAGGAGGTGCAGTGTGGCCCTACATCACCTGAAGCCCCATCTCCTGTTGCTTGCTCTGACCCACCAGCTGTTCCTAAAGGCACCAGGCAAAGACAAACTGATCCACATTTTCCACACCACTGTGTTAATGCTCCGTGTCTCTCCTGCCCTAGAAGCCCAAAGCCTCCATGTCCATCTCTTTCCAAAACTGAGCAAAGACAGCCTACAGTTACCCTTCCCTGGAAAACCAGCTGCTCATCCTCAGTGCTCTTTTCTGAGCTTCCTCCAGCATGATCACAACCTTTTGGAAGTGCTAGGAACCAGACCTGCCCAGATTTAGAAGGGTACACTGCAGCATGCACAGTGGTCTCTGCTCCTCTCCTCCTAAGTCCTGCTTGCTTTTTTCATCACTGCTGACCCTTCATTGGGAATTATCTATTGGATCTCCAAGATCTTATTCCTACATAGCAACACACCAATGAGAGCCCATCATTTATTTTATTTCAGCTCACATTTATCAGTATTGATTTCCCACAGGCATTTCGGAGCCTGAGAACTGCAGTTCTTCAGCATTTAATAGACCCACTGCTTATTACTCATAATTAGCATTCACAAGCAGCCCTTCATGTGGCTATGCAGCATATTGGTGAAACCTGGTCCCAGGCAACAGCCTTTTGGAGAATAACATACTGCAGGAACAACACAAAATGGAACATGCTGGGGTTGGGACACCTCCTTGGGTGAACTGTTTAATGAAAAACAGGAAAGGTCAGAAGAGTTGATTCTCACACACAACTTTCCATATTTGCTGCAACCAGCTCCTGCCTCTCATCAGTTAAATTTGCTGCTCAGAGCTGTGGCTGACATCCTGGTTTTCCAGCCCCCATCCTCCTGCACAAATTTTTTTACCAGTAGTTGGAATACATTGTAAGAGACAACTGCTCGAACACTGACTGTACAGGCATTTCATTACAGCATCTTTAAATAAAATAGATGGCAAATTATGGACTATTCAAAGGAAATTGCATTCTCTGAATGAAATGCTAATTCTCTGAGAATGCCCTGGATGTACAGGCTTTCCTTTAAACCCAAGGGGTGTTTGATTTCTTATGTGCCACCTGCAGTGGCTGCCAAGAAGAGAATTGTTCTTAGGCCAGGAGTTAGGCTATTGCACAAACTTGCCACGTCACATCTACTGATAAAAAACTAATTCAAGTTCGGTCAGAGCTCACTTTTCCTCCATGAGCCTTCACAGGGTCTGGCTCCCAGACATCCCCAAAGCACCACACAAAGCACTAAATGGGGGTCTCTGGCTTACAAATCAGCTGTAGAATATTCACAAGGCACTTTCCAATGCTACCAAACTCTTTCACCTGTTTCATTTCCTGTTCCAAAAGACAAAAGCCCCACTCTGCCTAGCTCAAACAAGTAGATCACATAAAGGAGGAGAAAAAAAACAAATGGGAATGTTAATAGTAATATTTTGACCTTTGGGAAACCAGAACTAAAAAATAAATGAGGGGGGAAAAATGCACATTGTGCACCCAGTTTAAAATTTATTTTCACTTCCCTGTGTAGTATCAGACTTCTCAGGAGCCATCTTTGCTTATAAGTATCAGAAGAGATGTTATCTTAGTAAGAACAATACACACAGACACAGAAAAAATCCCAGTTAAGAACATTAATTATGAAAAGAAAGCACCAAAGGAGCCTCATTTTCCAGACTTACTATTCTCTCCTTCAGTAACTCTCCAGAAGCTCTTCCAAGACCTTGTCCCAGCAGTAAGGATGCAATTTCTGGGGGTGAGGGCTGAGCCCAGGCTTGGAGGTCTCCCATGCAGGGCAGCACAAAGCACACAAAGGGGAAGTTGTGCCGCAGTGCTCGGCTCTTAAAAACGAAACCATGGTCCCATCCGGAACTTAATTGTGTGTGCTGGTCCCTGCTGCAGAGACTGAAATAAACAGGAACACAAGTGCAGAAACATACAGCCCTGCAACTCCTGAAGCACCAGAAAGTATTAAAAAGATATGATTGTTCTTGGATGGCACTGCCCAGCATGACTGGGCTGATTTGCCTCTGGGGTGACTCACAGAGCACTTGTGCTTTGTAAATAATAAAAAATGAGACAAAAGCCGACAAGATCATGTTCCAATACACCTTTTCTTCGTGCTCCTTCAAGTATTTCATAAAGCAGAACAGCACCACTCTACCTACCTGGCAGAAGGAAAAACCTACAAAATTAATTTATTTATCCTTAGAGAGGAAGTTAGCCACACCAGGGCCAAAAACCCTGATGTGAGATATGAGTTATCTCCAGCAGGCAGTGCTGCTGCTCTTCCTCCCCTTTCACATCAGTGATTAAAGAGCAAGAGGTCCCCACAGAAACCACTTTCCCTGGACACTTCCTCCAACTGTGAGTTGCATTTATTAACACACCTATTTTCCTCCAAAACCTGATGTAGTGACCAGTGCATGGAGTATCTAGACTTATGTGGAACAGCAGTAGTCAATTCTGTATGAGTTGCATTTGATTTCATGCCTATGATGCCTAAAGATTTTTTGCTTTTTATACATTTTTCATGTATTTGTAGCTTTGCAGATGACTGTTAATACATGGTTATATAGTTCCTAGAATTTTCCTACCCCTTCTCTTAGATTTTACAGTAATAAGCAATCCCTTTTAACATTCCTGAAATTCTGTTGAGTCTTAATCTCAAGAAGGGAGCCTCTAACAAGGACATTTTGTTTTGCAACCAGAATCTGAGGAGACATCACAAGAAAATAGGGTAAAGAAGTCCCTGGACAAGCTCCAAGGGGCTGACCCAGGGTAGATGTTTCTGTAAGTTCTTGAAGCACATCTCATGCACACACCCCCACCACAAACACCTGGCCCTCACATGAAAATAGCCACTGAAGAACAATTCAAGGATTCAACAACAATAACAAGTTCTGATAATGCATTTTCCTGCTCCTTTACACAGCCCTGCTGTATTGGAGAGCCACTCTACACTCTCTGCACACCAGAGCAAAGGGAGACTCATCATCCATAAGTTCTTCCCACAGATATTTCCACTGAGAATAAAAAAAAAAAAAAAGTAGAAAACATAGTGATCATTATTTGTTTATTTGAATAAATAGTACAACTGTCAAAAACCATGCATAAACACTCCTGCTGTGAATTTTAGCAAACATAGCATTGCATTGTAACTTGCTTACAGTACACAATTCTTATCACTAAGATGGATATCTCCAACATATGACAAGTCCAGAATTTTATCTGCAAGGCTGGTTTTTAGTAGTTAGAAATCCAGAGTAAACACTGTTAAAAACAGTAGAAAAGACTCTTAAAAAACACATTAATACTGAAAGTACTGGGGTGTGGGGAAGAGGGGTAAGAAATCCTAGACAGTTTAAATTGATTTTAAAAAATCTGCCACTGTCCATTTTTCATCTTGAAAAACAGAATGAAGCTGAGGACTATCTGAGCTTTTTGAGTGGTAATACAGCTCACTGTAATTGAGCGTGTCAAGTAAATGCACCTAAAAGTCAAGTTGTATGGACAGGAAAAGACAGACATTCATTAAGTACTTACAAATGTGGGAGCTTTAATGCTGCAGAGCATTCAGCATTCCAGATGAACTCAACAAGATTCAGACTGGTACCCATATGTAAAACCCCCAGTAACACAAAAATATCATGAATAACATCTTTAACACTGACTCAACTTTCTGAGAGGCAAAGAATTATGGTGCATGTGTCACAGAAAGGCATGACAAAAGCAGGTGTTCAGAGAAGCTTTACCTACATGGCTCCTCCTGGAAACTGGGCTCACTGGGATGAAGCCACACTTCAGTTCAATCTGCCCTGCTCACAAATCTGGTTAACAATAAATACAGTGTCTACAGAACAGTGAGCTGGCCAGACAGCCAGGAGCCAAGGAATGAAAAAAGTATTTTCCCTGTGCAACATCTACCAACAAACAAAACCACAACAGAACAGGCTGTGACTCCTGATCCAGGAGCAGTCCTGGCTGACAGGGATATTAACAGAAGGAATGCTAAAGGAGACCCATGGTTGTAGCAAGGGGACCAGAAACACAGAATTCAACAAAACAGACACTCTTTTATAACCTGTCATAACCTGCTCACCTCTGCTTATGTGCCCTGAAGATGCCAGCTCTATGATCCCAGCTCAGAAACAACCATTCCCCTTTCTAAAGCCAAATCGCCCTCACCCATCTCTTCTTTTTTTCTTCTGTTTGCTTTTGATATTAATACTGCTTGCAATTTCAAAAACTACACTCTCTGGAGGTCTTTCCCAGCAACTCAGAGAATATAAACAGAACTGGCCTGAAGGAAGGAGGATGGAATAACAACTATTTAACAGACTTGCTTCCTGCAAATAACCCTGCATTAAACTAAAAGTTTGAGAGACTTTTCAGCTCACTGACCTTCCAGCCTCATGATACCTTTATTTCTCAGCACAAAAGTTAGACCAATATCCTTCACCTGCCAGGAGAGCTGTTCACCAGGCCTTAGCATCTCTCCTGGTGCGAGTCTCCTCTGTTGGTGTTGTGGTGGCGTTTAGTGGCCCCATCTGAACTGCACATCCTTGTTCCAGGCTCAGTATAAACAGTGAGAGGTCAGCTCCTTCCTAAAGCACAGGCATGCAAAGATTCCCTAGAGAGCCTTGCAGAGCAGAGGAGATCTGAATTTTTCATGCAAAAAAAGGGCAACTTCCTTCCATCTTTCTTATTTTTTAGAGGTGTGAGGGAAGGTGATCCAAGTAATCCAAATACTAGAACTCAGAAATACAAAGCAAAGAAGCAGAAGCTCATTTCTCTCCCTCTGAGATGAAAAACTGTTTGAGAAGGGAAGGAGAAAATCTCAATTGTAAAATTATACCATTCAAATAGCATGTTTCCTCTTCAATCTGAGCTCAAAGGCAAATAGTATTTGGTGTAAAAAAATTGATATTTAGGGAAAGAAGACGCTGACTTACAACAGGACCCAAGTGAGCCTACGGAGCAGAGCAATTACACTTGCTCTCCTTTAGGGCACTCTGCCTAGTGTTTCAGCCAAAGCAATGGATGCCCATAAAACAAAAGGTGCTGCTGTGATACATAAAAGCAGCAATCAAATCTCTCCTCTGTGTGCTCAAAGGAAAAGGGTGATATTGAATGCATATTCCACATATCATTTACTCTGGAAATGCCAATCCCATTTCCTCCACAAAGCTCTCTTCAAAAATCCACTCAGATAGCTCCTGCTCCAGCACATTCCCTCTGTTAGTTTCAGGAAGGACAGGGGAAAATGCACTAATCCAGCCTGTGCCTATGTGAACAGCTCCGGACCAACCTGATTGAACCTGCCTAACAGGTGACAGTGGCCCTAGCAACCAAATTTTCTCCTAGAAAAGAGATTAAATAAAAAATAGACACCAAAGGATTAGTTGGTCATCCCATTGCAAGACTTATTCTGTGTAAACACTGAGTAGAAAGAGGTGAACACAAAAACTGAAGCTTTTGCCATTAGCTTCAGACAGTGCCTGTAATTCCCCTCAGCCAACCCACCCAACAGAACACACAAACCCTTATTTAATAGAAAAGGCTCAGCTTCTAAATAAATTCCAAAGGTGATTTTCTACTGTTAACATTCTAAGCCTGAAAAATCATCAAATGCCAGTTGCAACCAAGGAGTATGCAAAAGAAAGTCTTCTGCAGAAGTAAAGAATCTTGAGCCATGAGAAAAGTCTCATGTTCTCCCTGCTTATTAAAGTAGTTAGTGGTATATTTCCTTTCTCAAAAGAACATTTGTGGGTTATAGCAAACAACAGATCCATTTGGCAAAAGTGTGAAATACCCACACATTTTCAAGTGACCTGGAGAATATACATGCATCATTTTTAGTGGGATTGTCTTGCAAACAGCTACAGAAAGAACACATCAGCTGTAGGAAGAATGCAAGAAGTACATAGCGTAAGGCACAATGGCAGCATGCAGAGGGCGTGTTTATTGTAACTTCTGCTTGGGGACGTTGAAGAATGAAGAGATCTCAGAAGCTTCCAGGATCACTCAACGTTCTTGTACTTGGTGAAAAGGTTGTACAGAACCCTGAGGGTAGACTTCAGGTCCAAGTTGACAACATCTGTGGAAGAAAAGGAGAAATCCTTAATTTGCATTGTGTTTTCCCTCATTTGTCCTGACAGGAACAGAAGTCCCCACTTCTCTGAGCTGATGGAATTGTGAATAAAAAAAATCCACAGAGTTCTGATCTCCCCAAGCCTTGTAAATGTCTTGCACAATTTGCTTCAAAACAGCTTTACAATCACACAGTCACAGCTGACTTCTCTCAAGGAAACAGGAAGGTAATTCCCTTCCCCAGCTAAAATTGGCTACAGAGAAAGTCTGCTTCAGTCAGAGACCTGGGATAAAGGCTTTGGGAAATACTCCTAATGACTTCCCGGGCCACAGAAGCAGTGAACAAGCAGTCACGCACATCCTGAGGTACTGAACCACATCCACAGCTCTGATATGGTCCGTGAATTAACAAAGCCTGAATCCTCGGCAGACTCCAAGCTTTTTATTATTTAACAACCCTTCTTACCATGGTCAGCCAGGGAACAGGTCAGGAACAGCTCTCAAGAAAAACCTTTCCTGTTAGCACCTCTCCACCTATACTACAATAAAATGCCAAGAATGCAGGGATTCTGAGGGGAGGCACAGCACAGAGAAGGCTGAAGAGGTAGAAAGAAACTTTGGATATAACATGACAGAAATTAATAGGAAGCAGCAAAAAATACACAGTGACCAATATATATGGAAGCAGAAGTGAGG